GAAAAGGTTTATCGTTGCACGCATTAGTACGTAAATATTACAATATGAAACATCATTTTCCAATTTCTTTCCCTTTCCCCCGCGCCGTTCTTTTCCTACGTTCGGCGAGAATCGAAATCTCGCCACGAGCCGTAGGCCGTAGGCCGTAGCTATTCCATCGTTCTCCTCACGGGTAGAATTGCATGCGGGACGTGAGGCAACAGCGTAAGAAAAACGATACTGTCCGGCAACACTGTCTTCGCGTAGGAAATACACGAACCCAGCTTGATGGTAACGGGGAACAAAATTTATTTGTGGGTACTGCCGCTAGATGTCGCATTATATAGCCGTCCGAAAATCGATTTTGTCTTTCCGCTGGCGTCCGGTTGTATACATCGGCGCTTCGATCGATTCGGAGTTGGCCCCAAAGGAGTCACCCCCCTTAAACGTTCGACGCTCGACGCACGCCAGCGCGTTTTTTCGAGCTGGCTGACTGCGAAAGTTATTTATAGATTTCTTCAACGCCTTTGGATAAAAGATACACGAACGATGAAAATATCATCAACGCTATGAATAAAACGCTCCGATTAGATATTTTTTTTATTCAAGCTTCGAATAACGAATAAAGATAAAGTATCTTTTATTCGAACAGTTATATAAATAATTTTTTATCTAGATAATGTCCATTTCTAAGGCAGACCGATAACACTGTTGAACATCTAAAAATTTTTGCACTTTTCAATACGCGTTTCTGATAGATCATCATGGGCTGAATACAAATCTGCAACCCGTTTCTTTCGAGCATGTCCAGTTTTTGAAAAAATAAATTTTTTTAAAAATGGCAAATTTTCAACTTTGGAACTGTGTTGTGCTTTTACAATTATAGTTATACAATTTCTTTTGAAACGAAATATTTCTCTGGACTCTTCCGAATAAAATGATATAAATTATTATTATATTGTAGACATCTAAATATATTTAAATAATGTTTAAAGTGAAAAGGACACCGAAAATGCACCACTTTTTGCTGATATTCTTTAATTTATTTCAAAAACTAAAGGTCTTGGACAAGATCTAACCATAGCATGCGATAAAGCAGACCTTTCTGCTCAGGAAAGTGTCACGAAAAATTACAAAATCTGTTTTTTTTAAATAGGGATGCGATATAGTTCAGAAAAAAGTGGTGCGTTTTCGGTGTCCTTTTCACTTTAAATATTATTTAAATATATTTAGATGTCTATAATATAATAATAATTTATATCATTTTGTTCGGAAGCGCCCAGAGAATTATTTCGTGTCAAAAGAAATTGTATAACTATTACTGTAAAAGCACAACACAGCACCAAAGTTGCAAATTTGCCATTTTAAAAAAAATTTATTTTTTCACAAACTGGACGTGCTGGAAAGAAACAGGTTGCAGATTTGTATTCAGCTCATGAAGATCTATCAGAAACGCATATTAGAAGTTACAAAAACGAAAAAAAGTTCAAATTTGTTGAACAGTGTAATTGTCGAATGCGAACGAAATCAGTAACAGCTGATTAGGGCAATGACGCGCGACACCGAGCGAACGACTCAGGGCACGCGACATAAAAACAAAGAAATACAAAGATATAAGTATAAATGAATGTTTTGGAAGGCTCGCACTCAATGAAAGTCGAACTGCCTACAAGTAGAAAGAAAGGAAATAAAGTCTGGTGTACAAAACAAGCGTAAATCCGTTAATTGCGATCCCTTGAAATAACTTCTTACGAACTCTTACAATTCTAAGTCTTCGATTATAAGAGATTATATATCTTAATATTATAATTATGTTAAATATACGTGGGACTTACAAATGTAAGTCGTATAAAACAAGTTTTGTTCTTTCAATTTGAAAAATGTGCAGTTTCGGTCGCGTAGTCGGTGAGCGACCGCCGGGAAAGGCCGGTGAAGTTTGCAAACTGCTACAGCATGCGTACGGTTTCCAAAAAATCAACACGGTGGTGTCCTGTTGTCACGCTTTTGAAAAAAGTTGTCGGAGCTTTTGATCGGCCAATATTGAAAGATACGGATTCTGCTCACTATCCATTTTTAATTAAATATTACTGGATAATTATAACCTAGTTTAATAAATATAACCTTAAAGCAACATATGCAGCAAATTGGCCGCGACATACATGCAGCAAATTAGCTTGCGCAAACCTTGTTCCGGTTCTGTCCTCAATTTGACATAGGTCATGTTGCAAGATTTTCTGTCAATTTTTGCTTTACCATTTTTTCAGCTGGCGTTGCCTGCAAAACCCAAGTCAAATTCGGGAACAGATGGCTATGGTTTTTTAGACAACTTTTGTCATTTATTGCTGGTAATTTGCTCAAAACTTGTATACAACTGGTTATCAGGGAACTCGCACTTCACTTAAATTGTTTCATAATAATTTAATTAAAAACAAAAATTATTTTGAAAACTGTTTTCATTTATAACGATGTGTCAATAATATTACTATCATTTTTATACAAATTTTTCTGCCGTTTTGACGTTTTAGTTTCAATCTGCAATATTTCACGTTAAATCGATTACTTTATAAAACTTGCTGTCAAGGATTTTAATCAAATTAAAATATAATGTAACCCATAAAAATATAGATAAAAAGATATGGGTGAAATATATTTGTGAGATATACTTTTCTAACTTTCATCAAAATGGGCAGATATGATTTGTTTCAGCTGCATATGGCTATTAGTTTATGAAATATTTATTGTTAAATTTGTAGGCTATATACAGGGAGTATTCGAACTGGCGGTACAACCCGAAATGATGTTATTTAACATGCAAAAAGAAACCGAAAATGTAAAATAAAATTTTTTTGTATGATGTTTCTTTTTCGAGACAATCGAATTTTAAAACCAGCTGGATTCGTCTGCAATTCAATAGGAACTACATAGGTTAACGCGTCTGTTCATTACATTCCGTTTCTACTTATTGTCAACACGATTATACGTATAAGCACCTACGTGTTAAATGGATTTCGAAAATTGATTTTCAAATTTATGTTCAAAGTCTTGCCCCAACTAGCGTACTCTTCAGACATTTCACCACCTGATTTCCATCACTTGTGGTCAATGCAGCATGGTCTCTCTGATACAGCCATTGAGTTTTCTACATATGTATACATACTATATGTATAATTGGAAAGTGAACTGTGGGATGGTGGCCGGTCTGAGACAGAGGGAAGATATGCGGTGAATTTATCTCATTGTCAGTCTTACACACATATACAGATCATGGCGTGGCTTCTATACCCCCTCTACATGCAAATGTAGGCAGAATGGTACAGATAGAAAGGATAATAGGAAGAAGAAGGATAGGTTCTCTCCAGTTAGTATAGAGATCAATGAACACATCCGTTCGAAATGAAGCGAAATTAAAAAATGTGTCGATGACTTTATCGTCTCAAAGAACGAAGTATTTATTCGCCGCGGTATCCATATGTTGCTTGAGAGATTGCAAAAAGGAGTAGATTCCGAAGGCAAATACTTGAATTGAAATTATCACATCGTTTCTTTTATATTAATGAATATATTTTTGAAAGAAACCGCGAGAACTTATTTATACATCTAATATCTGAAGCCCAGAGTCAGACAATATTAAGTCACATTTTTCAAAGTTTAGAGAAAAGCAAATCAAAGGTGCAAAAACCTTGTAACTTTGCAACCGTTCGGTAAGAATTCAACGGTAAACAATCGCTATCTTCGAACTATTGAATGGATTTGAGATATGTCTCGATATGTAGAAATGGTGAACATTGCATTAAGTCCCCTATATGATGGACATTACACTGTTCGGTTCGGAACAAGATATCATTTTTACATTATTATATTAAAAATGAAACGACTTATTGTCGAAATTTGATAGGGGAAACATGTAAAATGTCATTTTTTAGAATAAGTGGACTTAATAGACTCTACCTCTGGGGTCCAGATATACTCTTATAATTTGTTTCCAATTAATAACTATTGAAATTTAAGCTACATACTCCAAGTTTCAAATTTCAACGAGGAAAAGTATTTATTAATTAAAAAACAATTATTGCATACTATAGTTGACTAGTGGGTTTCTTTCGCATTTGTAGTGGGCAATTTATTTTTGGAGCTAATGTGTGTTTCTGCGTTTTGTAATAGGTCCAGCCTGATAATATACATATAAAGTGTAACAGAAATAGATGCACAAACTTGAGTACTGATTTCTCATCTCCAGGATGAAGAGAAGTCATAAAAAAGGTCTGGAAATGTTTCTTTTTCGAGGTATAAATAATTTTTCTTTAAGACGGAATGTGACAAATACGCCTGTTGAGCGTAGAATTTCAAGTACTATTACCATGTTGTTCCCGTTAGAAGAAAGTACTCATAGTGCTTATGATCAGGCAAGTTTAATTGGCATTGGAATCAATGTATTGTATAGGTACTGCAGTGATTACAAAAATCGTCAGCCTGTATCTAAGTGTTTGAGTGTTAAATAATAGTATTTATCGAAATGACAATTATTTATTTTAATATTAAGTGGGTATATATCCAATTGTTTAACTGGAATCTAAGTTGAATGACCAGGTGCTGTTTTACTTTGGAAAAATTTATGGTACGGACCTTGAGAGGGTGCATGAAATTAAACAAATCTATGTAATTTCACGTAATGGCGAATGATTATGTTGAGTCATGTGGCTTTCTCTGAATATGTCATTTTTCAATTGAAACAGTGGTGCTGAAGTTTAGAAATGGCTTCTAATTAATAATAATCTGAGTGACGATGCGTTGCCTTCAAAACGGGAGCATTGTGCCTATAGAATCTGGATATGGAGTGGCGAAGATGAGGGTATATTCTGATTAACAGTAATTAAGTATACTATTTGTTACTCTTCTATTACTGCACAAATATTTTGGGGAACATCTTGCATATTCATGTAAATATAAAACATGCGAATAATATATCTGCATACAAGTAATTTATTAAGCATTTTACATAAAGATATTAAATTGATCGGTGATATGTTCTTGTTTTTAAATGTTATATTGTTATTTCATGTCCTAAATTTTGTAAATCTTTGGCCATTGCCGCTGTGATTTCTGAAGGTAGTATTGTCAATGGCGCGCGTGTAGGTCCAGGGTCGATATTTGTTAATAAAGACATTGCTGTTTTCATAGTTTCCACCCAACTGCCTATAATTTAACATTAAGATAATGTCTTTTTGTTCTTCACTTTAACACTTATAATTCATATTGCTTGAAAAAGTACACGATTGTATCAACTTTATGACTTCATATTTTTCTGGTTTTGTAATATACGTATAATATTATGACGATATATTTCTTATAATAAAATATAATAAACTAAATAAAAAAAATAATTTATAGGGGAATGTGCAAAATGTCTTTAATTTTAAGAACTAAAAAGTAGCTGAAGGGAAGAATTGTCGAATAGTATCACTACTAATACCAATAATTAAGTTTCTCTAAAAATCAGAAAACTGAAATAAATCGCTATTTTCAAGTTATCGAAGTTCCTTGGAAAATCTCAGGATTTGGATTTTTAATTCTTAAATTTTAACTACATACGTATCGAAAATAATGCGAATAAGCAGAAAATTTATATGTTGTGGATTTTCTCATCATTTAGAATGTTTTTTGTGCAATGAAATAATAAAATATCCAAACATGTTACCATATTTTGATATAGCGATGACAGCTTTCGAAAGTTTTTCCTGCGTCTCCCTTGCTTTCAAATTGTTTCCTACTGTTCCTTCTGTAAGAATCTGAAATGCTAGTTCTGGTAGCATGTTTATACTTGTTGCAATAAACGAATTCATTCCTAACGCACAGCCAGCGCCCAGTAGCTAAAACAAATAATATAATAATAAAGAAAACTGTACAGTACATACAGGGAACAACTACTGTGATGACACAACTGGACATGCGGTAATCCTTCACGAAAAATACATAAATAAAATAGTGTGCACAGTACAATCGAATGCGTAAGTGTAAGATAAACTTGAAAAAGTTGTATTTCTTGAAAACAAAGTAAAAAAAGTATGGAGAGATAATACAAAGCACAAAAAACCCCTTTCAAAGATAATAGTTACATAATTTAGTTTAGGAATCTTAAAATAAATTTCATATAAATATAAATATATATTCACAATCGTGAATGTGTTCTGAAATTATAAAATATTAAATTGCAAATTAATATTAATAATAGATTAATAAATTGTAAAATATTATAAAAGTAATTGAGAACTTATGCAACATTTCATCCCTGTTCTAATTATGTATCATTATCAGATATGATAATATGTATGTACGCATATTATGTGTCACAATGGCAATTATTATACAAATTCTGTTATTTATGTAATATCACTAGTATGGGTACTACACAAGGCTATGTATTTTCTTAATTAAAGTTCTAAATGTCGTTACAGTTGTAAATACAGTTATAAACATACCTGATCATTTCCAAGGAAAACCACGTATTTTTTATTATCAGCATTTAGTGCTTGAGAACCTTCTTCTAAGTTTGAGCTCGTGAACTTTATTCCCGCAAAGTTTGGAATTTTGTCACCAAGAGATTCTAAAAATAGTCCCATGTGCACTAAAAGAAAAACGTTTCGTATATTAAAAATCGTGTTTTAGACATTTTGTATGTATACCCTTGAAATTTAGGCCAAAGTCATGACATTAATTAGTCTTGAAGCTTGAATTATTATTACGGTCAATATTATGATAGCAATTGATAATATTCCATATAATAAATTTTACATTCGTTCAACCGTATCTCTTCAAGATTCTTTAAAAACGACCAAAGTATTAATTTAATAAGAACGACGTTGAAGGATAACAAAAGAATATAAGGAAATACGATTTTTAAATTTTAGTAAACGTTTCATAAACTTTGATTTAAGAAGCAGGTTTATCAATTTGCATGTTTTTCTTTAAATTATAAAACTTTTTCTATTTTTAAGGTCCGAAAACACTGTTAAATATAAACTTACCATTAACATTTGTCAACATTGGAATATGATAATACAGAAGTGGTGTGTTTGGGGCCGCTTTGCTAACTAATTTCAAATATTCCGTTAACTGGTACGTTGTTGTTGGTTTAAAGTATAATTCCGGTAGACACAATAAGGAATCAGCCTTAATATTTTCCGCATGCCTTGCCTTTAAACGACAATATTACTTTTACTTATCAGATAATTAAGAAAATTATGATAATAAGGAATGTAGTAAAGTAAAGTGCAGAACTTAGAATAGATTCAAGTAATCACCATCTGTGTAGAAATTGAAGCTCTGACAAATATTTTAGAAGTTATGTTATTACAATTCAAAGTCAAGTATTCGTAAATATTCGAGATTGTTTATACGTACGAGTTCAAGAACATCAGGTAGAGGTGCACCTCCTACTTGTACCATCAAGTGTTGCTTTGTCGTTTTTACAGCCTTTGCCCAGGCCTCAGCTGCCAATTTTCTTTCGGCTACAGACATAGATGTACCCTCTCCAGTCGTTCCATTTACTGTTAATTGGAAATTAATGACTTTTATAATGTCAAAAAGGAATCGATTCGGTGTACAAGTTGTTAAGACTTTTCGTTACGATTTGATATACGATGAATGGAACTCAACTGTTTATACTATACATATTGAATAGTTAGCTATCGTATAGAAAACTACATGAATTTTATTTCACATTTTTTGCTTAACGAAATACTACCATGAGCAGTGGACCATCCTGTATATTATACAAAATGTATAATATGTCCAATATAATGATTATTACTTAATTATTCCTTTAGAACTCTATTTCGATAAGGTATCAACTTAAATTGGAAGTATTAGTCACGATATAATTTTTGCTTACCAAGAATTCCAGTGATTTTCTTTTTAGCCAAGTGTTCAACGTATTGTGGGATAACTGATAAATTCAGAGTTTTTGCACTAGAATAATTAAGAAAAGAGTAAATAATTCTTTTTGATAAAATAATGTACATTTAAGGACACGACGCAGCTGATGTTAAGGTAAATGAGATCTAATACTTTCTATATAAATCAAGTCATACACAATTGTTATAGGAACACAAGTTTTCTTACCCGTGTTTTATCGAGTAACGATACAAAACTCCAAAATACTAAATGTTATGAAAAGTAAAAAATGAAACTGGTTTCCGTGAAAATGAAATAAAAATATTTTTTACATTTAACATACTAGAAATAATTTCTGGATTTCAATGACATCAGAGACAAATTTTTTTACAGAAATGGAATGTATACTTTCTTAAATGAGTGTCGTGCGGGCATTTCTCGCGCGTTTCAGAAGTACACAAAAACATATCAGGAAATACATATGAGCGGGCTTATACGCGGCGATACCTCAGGGCTCGCGGCGGGTGAAAATCGACTGTCGGATATCGTTGGCCCGCTGTGACAAAATGTGCACGGAACTTTTATATTCAGACGAGCGTGTAATAACCGCTGTGACAACGCGCGACAAAGCGCGCGACAAAACTCGCTAGTCTGCATCGGGCCTTATACAACCTTAAATTTAAGATTAAATTTAGAAAATTTTTAGTATTTCTCAAAGTATTGGAGTTATTAATTATTACCTATCATTGTTGAAGGGAGTTAATACAGGAACCATCAGTCCTCTGAAAGTGAACGGTGTTTTCTACAATAAAAGAATCTGTTATTTTCTGTATTACTTAATATGGATATATGTATTTATATTATAAATATTTCTATATTACAAAATAAATGAATTCTCTAATTATTATTAATTATATTTAAATATTTCAATATTACAAAATAAATGAATTCTTTAATTAACTTAATGAGAAACTATTATACAAAATGAATCGTTAACAGTGTAGTATGAGAGAGGCTAGGACAAGTCTTCAAGTGCGGAAAAGCAAGGTTTTATGTACACAGCACATTCGTTTAACTAAAATTTGGGCATAGCTGGAAACAAAAAATATAATTCTTATAAGTAATTTTAACAGAGAATAACACAATACTTTGTTTGAGTAGAAAAATTGAATTCTTTATTATTATTTTATAACACTGTAAAGGGGTTTAAGAAAAAAGATTGCCAGATAAAGTCTGAAGTATAATATGTTGCGTTTGTAATTTTACGTGATTTATGTATGATTGTGAATAAGATGTACATATATTGTACTGTGGTGTGTATCCTAATAGGTATTATTGTGTTTACGTCAAGTAAACCAATAGCGTATAAAAATTGATAATGCAAAGAAGAGGATACAGGAATCTAAAACGCACAAAATTTTTTCAGTGAAGTATAGTCACTATGCAGGGTGTCCATAAAATCGTGGTACAACCAGCTGGGTGGTGATTCTATAAAAAAAAATAAGTCGAACAAATAATACAGTTTTTCTTTTGAGTATTCTTTTATTTTATTTTTCATTTTTTTCTTTTAAGTAGTATTCAGTGTATTCACTATGGTAGTAAGTAGAAACGGTATGCAGTGAACAGACGCGCAGATTTTCAAATACGATTATATCGAAAACGAAGCTTTAAATAAGAAAATGTAAGTAATGAGTACTACGATTTGGGGGACACTCTGTGTAGTCACATTTTAAATATACAAATTATCTATTTTTTGTTTATTCAATACTTCCAACTTTATGAGTTACTTTTTAATGCTGGAATAAATGTTCCATTAAACTGATTGTTGGATTGTTACTACATAATTATAATGTGTCAGCTAGTAAGCAAAAATGAATAGTGTTATGTATGAGAAACACTGCTTTAGACAAAATGATACAATAGATCGGATGTCATCGGACCCATGGGCCTGTAACGTTTTGACCTGAGAGCTGGGTAATGAACGGTATGCAGTCCGGGTCTATTTTCTTTCATAAGTGGACGACTGACTCTCGATCATACCCTTACGGATTTTTCCTCACTTCCAGTACGATTTCCAAAGCGTTAAGACGTCCTTCCACGCCAAGAAATAAAAGACGTTATAAAAGGATTCATAGTATTTACTATTTATTTTAACCCATTTCCAATACTGATAAAATGTTGTTATAGCTTTTCAACACTTATCGATATTTGCAATATAAATATTATAAAAATCTTTTTCTTACCCTTATTACTGCTTTACTTCCTCTTTACGTATTTTTAATTTGTTATAAAACTGACTGAAGAAAGGTGTACCGTCGGCACAAATGAAATAATTAGGTATTATGTTAATATGTAAAATAAGTTAACCCTGTATTAGATTTGAATTAATTACTTGTAGTAATTAATCCTCTTTTAAAGATATAAGCTCTTTCAATATTAATATTTATGTATTACAAAGATTTATTTTGATATTTTTTAAAAGTAAATTATTCTTTTGGTGTCCTTTCTGTTTTCTTTAAATACAAAAATTTTGAGGTAACAGTGATACTTGATATATACATGTACACGGGAGTGGTAATTATAATATGTAAACTACAGGACAGTAATTGAAATCGGTTAATACAGAAACGAGCGACAGACATCAAAGATGAGAGAATTGTTAAATTTACTACAGTTGTAGATCGAAAGTCGGGAAAAACTGCGATTTTCAACATTTTTAATCGTTTGTATCTCATAGCAACATTAACCGATTTTGATGAAATTTTCAACATGTATATAACTAACATAAATCTTCGATATGTATTTATTAAATTTTCATTATAGCCTCAAATTAAAAAGTTGTAAAACACGACCTTTAATATTTTGTTCGCGATTCGGACCAATTGCAACTTTTTCAAATTTTTTTGTCACATCATTTAGTAAATTAATGTCTCTAACTTCACAAAAAAACTCAAGTCATTTGGACCAATTTTAAGAGTTGTTCCGTTTTAAAGGGTGTACGAATACTTTTTACACTCCCTGTACATAGAATTCTTTTAGAAATTGAATTAAATTATACTTATGATCACTAACTGTAAGTGCATTTCTGTTCTTCAATTACAACTTCGACCCTGTAAACTGTTTGTATTAATGTTTGTAAATGTTATAATATTTAAGATAGAACATATCCTAGCCGATTTCATATATAATTTATCTATGTAAAAGCTTAATAATTTCATATTTTGTGATATGTTGTTAATAATATTTTTGAAACTATAGTAGGAATAGTGAATTATATTTATATGCACTAAAATGGATAATGTAAAAAATCAACTTATATTTGGTATAAAGTTACTGAACTTAGAATATCTACAATATACGAATATTCGCCCAAAAATATTAATTTATCATTGATGCTTCGTTAATAGTACGTATTAAATTTGTTCAACTACATAACTCATTGAAATGAATGACCCATTATACGTTTAGTTTTGATCAACAATTTTACTATCCACCATGACTAACGATAACAAAATATTAACCAAGTATATAGAGTACAATTTATTTACTGATGTTCCGGAACGCGGCCCTTACCAAATTCTGCAGCCGTAAACTCACGCGATTACCATTCGAACGCCTCAACGCCATTAGCGTAATCATCGCGATTACCGCGTGCGCGTGGCTCGCAATTCGGTCAAGCGCGCAATTCCCCCTCCTGAGCGACCATCAGATCTTTGTCATCGTTCGCTCCGGTGACCTCTGACTTAAAACACAACCGTTTTAATCGCCAATCGATCACCACGTGTTTTACCATTATTCTAATTCATTTCCACCGCACGTGGACCATAGCTTTTAGCTATCGCCGTTATTAATAACATCGTTCACCGTTAATTTGTGTTTCATTTATTTATTACTGGAAATTCAGTGCGTACAGTTTGTTAACATAAATTAAACTGAGTTCGCAACCACCACACGTGTGAGGCTCGGTTAATTTCTATCACCCCGATCGCAAATCCCCCATACGGGATAACACCAGCCACGAAACAACTGATAATACAAAATATTTACGTCAGTTGTAAGATAAATTTTGTTTCAAATCGACAACATCTTCGAATGGAAAATATTTGTTAACTCTGAGAATAATATTAACATGTCGACTGTTATGGTGGTCATGGGTGACCGGAGCTATTAAATTACATTAAGAAATATTCAATTTCTAAACAAAAGCATTTAACATCTTATAAATATCATATTATTAGTGGTAAACTTATAATGAAAGTAACAAGTGTTCAAATCAATACAAAGATACTTATATCGTTAATAACAAAGACAGAATAAATGTATTTTATTATGATATTGTCCCAATAGTAAAAACGGTGTTAGTCATCGTATTAAAATTTTTTGTAACATGTATTCATGAAAATTCAGTAGTAAAATTCCAAACAATCAAATGCTAGTAGTAGGAACTTACCTTGGTCAATAATTGGTTTACTCGATAATATGAGATAATATTTAGCAAACAGAATTAACTTTTAATGTAAGTGTTTTTTCTGTTTACACACGTATAGTAACGTAATATTATTAATTTATAGTAACCTTCTGTTTTATTGCAAGACTATCTTGATTTAACGTATGTAATGTTTGAACTTATATAAACAATATTTTGCATGATAATAATTTAGTAAATTAAAGACTTAATAACATTAAAAACAGAGTATAAAGAATTTACTCTTGGTAAATAGAATTCGATTATACTTCCTTTATAAGATTGTTATCAATAATAACTTCGATATGCTAATTGTAAGATCTATGTATATGAAGGTATACATATTTACACGCATATTAGTATAAAAGATGGTTAATGAATTTCAATAGTCGTGATATAATTTTTTAATGATTATTCATGCATACGTACTGGCATTGTGGGATGCGAGTTGAAGTCACGGAGAAGCAATTGGCATACTGCAGAACACTTAATGGAAAGGAATATTTTTACTGTAACTCTGATAAGATTACGTCTACTTCATATCAAGCATTATATATCGCATGTTTACTCATTTTTAAAACTGATTTCCATACGTGTATACCTTTTATACTTTTCTTTAATTTTGTACATTTTAGTATAACAATTTTATTGTCAATACAGTGACTCACATATTCGTTCACATACTTCCGAAATAACAATCGAGTGTAAAACTTTTTATGCAATTCCTATTTAAGTGTCCTCATTATTTTCATCTTCATCTTTATTATCTTTCTGTGATACATTTTTGTTATTTTGCAAATAAAGTTTGCAGTTTTTTGGTACGTAATTTAGCCAAATGGATGTGATAGCCTTCTGTGAACAAAGTGTCATTTTACAATCACCGAAACCATTTGATGCATCGATTCGGTTGCAAGAATTTATATAAACCTACCTGCAAAAATGCTTTATTAAAGAGTCATGTTGCAAGTGTTTAAAGAATTAAAAATCACGAATGATAATGATATCGGTCTTATAAAATCGATAAAATATGAACGATAGATAGATAGTTATTCAATTTTATGAGATTTTCCTATCGCTGCTTCGATTAGTGATTGCATCAAATTCAAAATGTATTTATGAATATCAATCAATTTAATATCTAACATTTCGATTATTATCGGTTGTACCTATCCACTCCAATTAACCATATATAGATATTATAGTGATTCAATAGTTGCGTTAAATTTAATTTTTAAATTACAGGCGAATATCGAATAAGCATAGAGTAGGTATCTCATTTCGTAATATGGACATTGCCAAATACGGTGGTTCGAACCTTGGATTCCAGAACCGCAGGCGTGGAACATAAAAAATATTTGGTGTATTAATAAGTAACCGACTATTCATTCTTCGTAAAGTGATAACACAGTTTAGATTTAATATGCTTTTCTACACATTTTTTCTTTCAAAATAACGGCGAACATTACAGAACAAGGTCAAATATCATTCACACAACATAGGCTTTTGATTTCCTTGAAATTAGTCCTTGAAGATATCCTGTAAGAATTGAATTTGACAAAATATAATGGATTACTTATTGGCATACCCAAGGATTGTTCTCTTACTAAGGTAGCATTTAAATTGTAATTATTACAAAGATTTGTATTAACAAATGTAACCATAATCTTATGTATGATAATTTGGCGGCGATCTGTAGACTGGAAAATGTAAGAAGGGAAGTTGAGGGAGCGTTTCGTCCTTGGCCTGCTAGTGGACTCGTCAGTAAGGCTTTCTAGCAGACCCTGCCTTAGACGCGGGGATATACGATGGTCGGTTAAGGACGTATATATACGAACGAGGAAGGCTTCAGGTAGTTGTGGGAAAGGTGTCAACTAGGTAGACCTCTGATGGCGAATTTGGGAAGGAAGGTAGTGCCGCCACAATAAGCTAAACCATAGGTTATTTACTATGTTTTTAAAATAATATTTAAATTAATATACCTTTATGTAAATATTTAAGATTCCCTTCATTTAGTTCAATTGTTAATAATAAAACGAAACGGGGCGTTTGATTTAATTGCAAAGTAATTGCAATATTAGTGTTCTTTTAATCCTAGAAATGACAGTAGTTCTGGAAATTTGTAGTGGAAACGCACAAGATTTTGTGACTGCAAATAATAACCAGGTGCTCGAATATATCAAAGTGTCTTTTAACCACATTCCCATTATTCACGATAAGGCAAACATAGATAAACACAATTATGTTCTTCAATGTCAACAATCCATTTGAACATTAATTGAAATATTAAAAAATCGAAAGTAGGTATTCACAGCCGCAAAATTAAAACTTGGAGGTCAAGGTCAATAAATACAACCCATCAAGATTATTTATAAAAATTCTTTAGATGTTTATTTACATGTAGATTTTCTTTTTCTCAACAATGTCGGTGATATATTAACACAGTATCGTAGTGACAAATTATACGAGGGTTGCCTCTTATATTTCGGGAATGGGCGATCCTAGTGCTGCCATCTGGAAACCGACGTCTCTGTCGTAAAGTTCGACTTTTTTGTCAGTATTCGTACTACGAACGTTTTGACGTACAGACGCTATTTGTGTTGTTTACAGTGACTCGAAAAATGTATCTCGGCCAAAAAATGGAGTTAACTCGTGAACATTTCCGTGCGATTATTTTTTACAATTTTCGACGTGGATTATCTCAACAACAATCAATCGATGAACTTAATTCGACTTTTGGCGATGAAGCACCATCAAAAACCACTGTATATCGGTGGTATACCGAATTCAATCGTGGCCGTCGTTCGCTCAGTGACGAATTTCGTGAAGGTCGTCCAAAATCGGTCGTTGTTCCAGAAAACATTGATGCTGTACGTGAACTGATATTGCAAGATCGTCATGTGACTTATCGTGAGATAGAGGCATCCTTGGGCATTAGTGGGACCAGCATACATTCAATATTGCATAAACATTTGGCCGTCAAAAAAATATGTTCGCGTTGGATTCCACATAATTTGACAATCGCTCAAAAAACGGCTCGCGTCGATTGGTCGAAAGAAATGCTAAAAAAATACGATCGCGGTGCTTCAAAACATGTCTATGACATCGTAACAGGTGACGAATCATGGATCTATGCGTATGAGCCCGAAAGTAAACAGCAGTCGACTGTATGGATCTTTCAAGATGAGCCAAATCCAACAAAAGTTGTTCGCGCACGAAGCACTTCGAAGCAAATGGTCGCCTGTTTCTTCGGAAAAACCGGGCATGTAGCAACTGTACCATTAGTGCAACAGCGAACGATCAATTCTGAATGGTACACAACCATTTGTTTACCAGAAGTCTTCGAAAAAATAAGGAAAACCAACCGCCGAAGACGGATCGTTCTCCACCAGGACAATGCGAGCTCTCACACATCGGCTCAAACGAGAGACTTTTTGGGAACTGAAAACACCGAATTGATGGGTCATCCGCCGTACAGCCCTGATTTAGCACCCAATGACTTCTTTTTGTTTCCGCACATCAAAAATAAATTACGAGGTCAACGTTTTTCGACGCCCGAAGAAGCGGTTAATGTGTTCAAAATGCATGTTTTGGAGATACCTCAATCGGAGTGGAAAAAGTGCTTCGAAAATTGGTTCAAGCGCATGCAAAAGTGCATCGATCTTCATGGAGAATATTTTGAAAAACAATAAAGCCATTTACGATGATTAATTTTTGTTTTTTTTCTCTATTCCCGAAATATAAAAGGCAACCCTCGTACATACACGTTTGTTCATCGAAACGAGAACATGGAATACTACGTAGACAGATTACATAATAATGCCAAAGAGGATTTTATGTAATGTCGCTTACTACCAGCACAATGTCTTCCACCGTTACTTTCTTCATTTTAATTTACATAAGTATCACTTAAATTCAACGAAATTCCAGCTACATTGTTTTGGTGCGTACTATTTAGTAAAATAATTGTTCATTTATTTGTAAGTTTATTTTTATTTGTCTTCGTACTTTTCGATACTGTCGCACTTCACTAGACTTCAGGTCATAGCGAACATTATAATAATTACTAATATAACGTTAAGACTCGTGTTTGAGATCTTCCCTTTTAAATAATAATTTTTGTTTATACTCTACGAACGAATTCGTTTAACGTGTATTTTTGTCATTAGTGTTAATGTTATTAGTATAATTAATATTTCTTTTCATTGAGTTTTGTTCTCGTTAGCTGATCTAAAAGGAAGTCAAAATGATTTGTAAAGAAATTAATAACAGATTTAACTGTATGTAATTAAAGCTGACAATAATATTAGCCACTGTAGACGTAATTTGTAAGTAGTTTTTTTATTGATACAAATTTACACTCTT